TGATTATTCCTGTCTGGTTATATTATTAAAAACAATGTATAAAATTAAGTTATAATACGTTTACCCGGACGAAAGTTAATTGATATCATACAAACAATATACCACACTCTATAGGCATATAGTAATCATAATCATAATTCATTTTACTCAATATCACTAAAGATGAATGTAAATAACATATTGGTACATAGTTCTCTGTACAAAATAATTCCATTTTTCTTTTAATATTTGCCAAACTCATTTGAAGCTGGAATAATAAGAATGTCAGTAGGATTGTTGAGTGTGGTACATAACTCAAGGCGATTTTGGTAATGAACATGTAAAAAAACCGTCTATTTATTACATCTAATGTAACGATGATGCTAATTAAGTGGAAGAATATCCGATTACCGTATAAATAATATGATGAACCCTAATACATTCAATATTATCTGAATGGTTTTAATTCGTTTTCAACGAATTACGTTTTCTATTTGATTCAGATATACAATAACATCAACTAATTATCACACAGTTTCATTCCAATGTTGTTTTTACTGTTGTATTAACCTGATTATCTCCATATATTGATCTGAATTCTGTCATCTCTTCTAGAATATATAAATAATTATGTGTTGTTAGACATTTTTAGTTACTTTAATCATCATAAATACCTGGTACTTAAATAACTACTTTTCATATCTGCATATATGTCTAGATCAAATTAAATATAACACTGTCGAAACTTATTCTTGATTCGCTTATTTTATAACTACTATAAATATGATTTTTATCTATTAAAAAACCTTATTTAGCTGGTGATAGTTTTCAGTGTCATTGGACAGTTAGAACTGCAATTTCAATTTGATGTCTGAAACGTTCTGGGAATACATCCACCTAGAGCCCTTCTAAGGTTACTGCCGATCACAAGCTCGGATACAGGTGGAGGGTTAGCAACTCAATCCCTTAGCAAAAACCTTGCCATAAAACGCTAACTTCGAGAACTTGTTCTCTAAACTATGATATTGTCTTCAGCTTTAATATAACATCATCGTAGCATTCACTATTGATCATCCTTCTTTTAATAAATTATTTTAAAATTTTTCATAGATTTGAGAAGTTTGCCTCGATTTACCATAACAATGTGCTAGAATAAAGTAGCAAGATTTCAGCGATTTTGTGTCCGATTTTTTCTCCATGTGACCTTACAAACGACGTTAAACTTATCCAAATGATCATAGCTAAAATAACATCTAAGGGATAAGTAATAATATATAACTAATTGTTCAGCTATTGAGTGCTGATATTTGAAAACTTAAATAAATACTAAGTGCTTTTCAGTTAAGAATTTTTTATTAGTATAACCGAAAAACCTAAAAGTACATCCTTCAAAAGCTTATCTATGACAAAATCATATACAATGGAAAGTTCATTTGTTCGTCATTTATAAATTATTTGAAAATTCATCAATAATTATTGTATAACTACTTCTCTGAAAATAATTACTAATTACTGCTATCTGTCATTATGGTTTCAGCTCTTCTGCAATAGGTGCTAAATGGTCATACATTGAACAAATAGTTATTATCAATGAATACTTTAGAAATTTGGAAAATGTTTTCACAAAAGTCATCAAAACCAAAAACTGCTGAATACTTATTAACAGAAAGTGCGAACTTGAAAATTTAGCAAAACAAAGTAACTAGATATTCTATAGATAGCAAAATGTAGACATATACTAGATGCTTATGAAACTGTTGTAGAAGTTTCTTAACAGATTATGCTGTTAATTTTTTAAAATCATTTCATAAATCAAATTGCAGATGATATTCTTGACACTTCAATTATGTCTCAAGATTCTTTTGCAATTTCCCAGGAAAAATTAATGAATCCTAGTGTCTCGAGCATTATGTTGTGATCTGTTAAATATTTACGACGTTATTTTCAGAAAAGATTACGAAACGATTATAAAATGAACGATTCAAAGTAACTTACAACCTAAAATATAGATTCGAAATTATGAATTGAACTTTGATCAAGTTAAAATAATTATTCAGACATTTAGAAATCAGTAGTTGAAGATAAGGTGTAATAATACATAAAACTACTGAAATAATGTAAGTTGCTAATTCATAAGAATAATTAATGGATTCTTATAGACTTACTACATAAAGAGAGATTATACTCTTGTGTAAATTTAAAAATCATGTTTAACGTTCTCATCCAATTAGCTGAATCATTTGACTAACATGAAATCTGTATAAATAGGTCTTTTAAGTTTTGGCAAAATGTTGATCACACACTAGTAAATCACATACATGGACAAGAGGAATTCTACCACATCTCTGATAAACAATAAACTTCAAGAAAACGTTTTTTTTCATAAAACGACATTACATTTAGAAATAGACGTATATCAATAAACGCCTTTGCTTTGAGTTGTATGACAAATTACAGAAACGGCACTGCGAATGCGTAGATTAGGAGCTACCCATTTATGACAGTGAATGAGTATATCCCCAGTCGACTAAGGTTAGAAAGTATAAATCATGTGACATCTGATAATACTTAAAGGTTATAGTATATGGTTAGTTCTTTAATTAATAGAAACGTGATGAATATTGTATTTATACTAATAACCAGTTAAAAACAGAAACAAATTCTTGAATTTGAAACAGGGTATGTCATAATAATACTTGGGAAAATAAAGTTGTGCTCATAAATAAGAGCAACTTGTTCTGAGGAAAAATGACAACCTTCAGTACATCTAAGAGTATTATAACGCCAAACCACCTCAGAATAGGTTATTTTAAACCATAAGCAAATAGTAAAACAACTAAAGCTCATTCATCGCTTAATTATTCAATCTACACTAAGTACTGTTTCAGTTGAAGTGAATTAGAGAACCTTGAACTATTACAGAGTCGTCTGGTTGTAAGAGATTAAACTGAAAAGTTAGTTCAGTTTATACATCCAATATATTACACTCCAGATGGATTATATGTATCAAGAAATAATTAATATTAAGCATTTCCACAAATCTAAAAAAATTGTGTTATTTCATGGTAGACGACCGCTGAATATGTTGAATAGTGCTTCACAGTAAAAGACTCCTAAACTTTTTATAAAGCAGAAGCTGAAATATTTAGCCACCGATGTTAGGACACTAGTTTTCATCTGAAGAAATGAGACAAAAATTGAAGTATTGGGTAATGTTAATCGATATATGAAAGCGAACTTAGCTTACGTTTTCTACTGGAAGTTTAAAGAATATGATTTTATTTAAGAAACAAACTTGGGAACTGAAGGTTCTTACTGTATTTTAGTTGTTGTGTGTTATTTATCCCCTTTTTTTAATAAAACGTGTTGGATATTTCATTGAAATGTCCCTAATGTTTAAGGTTGGAAAAACCTCCTGAAATTAACATTTCTATTTTAAAAGCTTCTACTAAAAATAAACTTACTTTTCTTGTTCTTCTTATCATCATTATTATTACAGTTAAGAAATTTTTTTATTACTATTACAGCTGTTTTTAATTTATACGGAAATCATCTACAAATATATGTTTGACAATACATGTTTATTCACTAAAACATTTGTTCCAATCAACGTTTACTTAATACAAACTGTATTTTGTACCCGATAAATCATAAACTTCAAGAATGTACATATTTTATATTATCTTGATACATTACTGTAGCGAAAATCATGTGTAGCAAAAATCAACATCAGTGAGAAAAATAATCAATCTGTACACACGAAATTAAGCAAAGCTGAAACTAGACCTAATAACACAGGTTCACATAGGACTAAATAAATTCATAATCATTTAAAAAATGATCCTTTTAAATACTTAGGTGAAAATCTCTCAAAAAATAAATGCTTATAAAGTGATTAGTAAATAAAATTGACCACAAAAATGTCATACGAAACTAAGGTATGTGCTGCCATTATTTTAAGACACTTAATCATTTTTGGCTATTTAATCGTTTCAAGTATATTGTATAACAATTTGCATCGGTAAGAAAGTTGCATGTTATCTGTACTTATCTCTATCGAATGGGGAAAGTTTTTTTCTGAAACATGAAAATGACGATGCACTCAATTAAACTGGCAATTTTCTCTCGTACCAGATTTCGAATTTTATTATTCAGATCACTACTATTCTACCGTTCCTGTTTAAAGAAACAAATAAGGTTTTTTCTGTACACATAAATTGTACTATGTCTCTGACTATTCTGAGTTCCGGAGCAATTTACAGGTAAGATGTTGGACATTTTAACGTAATTCATTCTCAATAGTCTAGTGAGCAAGTAACTTTTGATTTTCCGCACTGAAGAATGTAAGAAAGATATTAACGGTCTTTGGGTTTAGATACTATTAAAAATACAGTGTAATATACAGTTTTATATATATTGATATGTGCTTTTGACTGACTTTCGATAACTACCCACTAAAAGTTCAGTATCCCCTCATCAAGGTTGTTAATCAAAATTGCATATTCTTGTAGTCGATCTATCAGACCATCACGTAGCACGCCTTTAACAAACAAAAATCACTGTGAGATCATGAAAACTGAGGTCTCTATACAATCACAGTACTATGTGTTTAAAACTTCCAGAAGTCCCGGTCAATTTATGAGCCTTTTTATAATAATAAATAAAAAACCACCTTCATCTAAAAAAATTTAAATCTATTTGTATGTTTTAAGCTTTATTATTTTACGTCGTTACTATTAAACTGTTACTAGGATTCCTATCCAAAAGAAAGTGGATGATATTTATAGCACAATTACCCAAGGGAGAGTGTTATGCAGAATTATGTGGATTTAGGCGGTAAGAAACATCACAATCGAATGTCATTGACTCAGCACTGAAACAAGCACACTTCCTTACTAATACATCAGAAAGATTTTAGTTGGATTGCGTGTAATATAATTTATTGTCTATATGACCAAGCGTTCATTTGCTTTTTGTTCCTAAAACGTTTTAAATAATAATAACGCGAAGCATTTACTTACTTTTCTTACAGCATCTCCTTTATCTATTTGTTCACGAATTTCCTTGGATGAGGCTTCAGCCATAGAAATGAATCTTCCATCAATGCTTCCCACCTCTTAGATATAAAAATTTGTAACAAAGCCAGTTTCAATTGTGAAGTACAGATTTGATTCATAAAATGCTTGACATGATTTAACTAGCCATAACCTAGCCGAAAAGATTTAAACAGTCCAATGCATTCATCTCACTCACTCTCCGATAAACCAAATATACTTCTCATTATTGGCCGGGCCTTGGTGTGAATGCTTCACAATTTAATCCTAAACATCATCATTCGTTGGATATTAGTTTTGTTCCTTCGACAATTCGCTATGCAATAGAAACTACACTGATTGCTACATGTTAGCTAAACCAGATAAATATATAGCTATAGCATTCAAAATGACACAACATGGTCAAGAAACGAGAATCACTTATGGTTCATGAATTTAAAATCATCTCAAAGTGTTTGTTGTGCAATATTTTGCTTCTCTTATACCATAAAAGCTTATAAACACTTTATGATTTCACTATTTGTTTGGAAGAACGCAAAATGAACAAGTACATTTGATGTATAAAAAACCTTAACATCATTACAGCCCTTATTCAAACTCAAGCAAGTATGTAATCTGGTACATCTTACTGAATGTCACCGAGATGTTCTGACTTTGTCCATTATCCTTCAGTCGTGATTTCGTCTAACTAAGACCAAAACGTTTTGTTTACCAACCCAAGATATTGTATGTATAGAAGTGAAAGTACTTTTATATACATGTATTATTAATAGAGCTGTTTGAAAAACCCAAATTAAATAACTGATGTCTTACTGTAAAATTCAGTATAAAAACCAAGATCTATTAATTATGACTAATAACCCTCACAAACATTTTAATCAACCAAAGTGGGTATTTACAGTACTTCGGTCTGTTGCAAGTGTATATTTTACAGTTTTTTTTATCAGATTGCGTGACTTCCATAGACAGAAGGTCACATTAATTGACATTGGGTTAGCAGAACTTGAGACTGACAAACATTACATACACTTCTGACCCGACATTTTTTGGTCGGTTTGAAAGTGAGATAAATTCAACTTGTTTCGCATCTAACGCCATAATTGTATAATGCAAAGAGACTAATATTGGACTGTTGTATGGCTCACAGTGACTGGTTTTTATTTGTACCGATAACTACAGGAAACGTATCTCAAGAGATTTAGATAACGACATCAAATGCAGTTCATATTTTCGGCAGATTAAATAGTTGCAAAATTTTTAAACATATTTTAAAATTTTATCAGTTGACAGCTGAGTAGTATATTCTTGTTCAAAGGAATCCAGATGATGAGAGTAATCTTAATAGAATAGTTTTTTATCAACACACAGAAATTGTCACTGCTAGGTCGATTTCAAGGCCGATGTACAGTGGTTTTCACATTGTTTTTGGTTTAAACTGCCTTTGGAAAATTACTCGAAATCACTTTTGACAACTTTAAATTTATATGAACTAAGATTTTTTAAGAAACCTACTATGTTTAAAAATTAAGTGAAATAAATACCTCGATTTTCGGGAGTGAGACGCCTAAAGCCTGTTATTTCTGAAGGTTCACTACAAAGATTGTGAAAAACATAATTTGAATCACTGGAAATAGAAGCAGTCGTCAGCATTTCGGACATATTTTCACCATTGGCTGAAATCAAGTCATTGACATTCATGAATCGTGATTGAACTTGCCTAAAAGAACAGATCTTGTGAATGAAAAAATAGTAAGACCAACAAGTATTAAACGATAAAAATTTACAAGCTTCAACTCATCGTATCAGAACGTTAGTTAACCTCTTAAAGTAAGTCACCAATTGTTTGAGTACATGTGTATAAACTGCTCATTGAAAACAAGGCACGAATGAAAACATAATTACCGACCACTTAGGACGAAAATTGGCTGAAATATCTGAAACTGTTGTTGGTTTTTAGAGTATGATTGCTTCAGTTATTAAATATTTTTATGAGGTTGTAGGGTTATATGAATGTAAGTATGACCTTACCACAATGCTTTCCGCTACGCTCAGCTAAATCTAGTTACTATTTGAAAGTGACAAACGTATCTGAAAAACCCTTTTTCTGTAGGCGTGCTAGAATAATCAACTTCACTTGTTACATAAGAAAGCCAAGGAAAAAGACGAAAATAAAGTCCTTGACATCGGTCATACTTTTTCCCCTGTGTTTCTACTACATCAATCAAGTAACCTCTTTAAAGTGAACCAACAGTGATTGGCTGAGTATCTTTTCATGATCCGATATCAGTCTATCGACGTTGTTGATTAATTCTTATTTTCGTCAATATATTAGACTTTATAAATAGTAAATTCTGACAATCATAATTAATTGTTTTGCGTTCAGTCAATCTTTTAAATACGAAAAGACTGCCTATTATTAACAGGAAATATGTCAAATATAATTTCATGTTATGGACTATTGAGCTGTAAATATTAACTATAATAATACCATGACAACACACCAAACCCAGTTTAGGTGGATCTAAAGGCTATTTGTTGTTTAAGTTTGGGAGATTGAAAGCCAGAGTTTTTAATCATAGAACGCTTTCGTCTTTTTGAAAATGTCTGCATTCATGATAAAATTTTAAAATCGCTACTAACAAAACAAAACTTCATACATCTTCATCAAAAACATCACTTTCGCTCTGATGACTCATATAAAACGCCATATTTCTAAAATACGTTCAGATATGGCCCTCCGTTTGTTCAGTGAAGAATTATGAAGAATACCAAACATTGTAACAGGAGAATCAGTCATTCGATCATAAGTCTTGCAACAGCTATATCTAAGATATCGAGTGTAGTCGAATTGCACAGACTATAAAAAATGAGTCCCAGTGACACTTGCACAATCTAAACCAAGCTTATTTCATATTTGAGTTGAATTGATTATATTAACTATCTTTGTAAAGCACTTTGGTACTTAAAACGTTACAATGCACTGGTGATTATTGATATCAATGCTAACTCTGTTTTGCTGAATGGTTATATAATTTCAAACTATCTTGCACAAAAACGTTCGTCTTACGGATTCCTATGAAGTTCGAACATTCTTTTTTGAAAACTTAAGGTACAATATGGTCAATCAACAATTCCTCTTCAGTGTTAAATGCCAAAAGGAGGGTTGAGCAGTATCACACATTAGCATTTGATCCTACAGTTAGCTATACAGTGACAGAAACCGTGAGCGAGACGAACACTAAAATCTGGCATCTTTTGCCTACGAAATATCGCCTGACTCTTATTTACAAACAAGTTTGCTAATTAATATGCTGATATCCAGTTTAGCACGCAAAGTAAGTCAGCTGAAATAACTCGTCGACAGAGCATAAAGTCCGTGCGACTGAAATTAAGGATGTTTCTTTAAGATCGACAAAAGCCGCTGGCCACCTGTGATGCTTGTATGAACCAATGATTGCTTTGAACTTGATCGCTGGTTGATTTCAAATTATAAATACAATACGTTCTTTTGTGTTCATCTAGTTTCATTTGTCTTAAATTGTACTGTTTCAGGAATTTCTAGGTAATACTATGATTTGGATACTTCAATTATCATATTGGCATCGCGAACAGAATCTTGTGACGGAATAATTGGAAATACATCCAGACTCTCAAGCTCTCAAAGATTACATGGAAAGATTTTAAATCTGATGTATGACCACGAAAGATGTTAAGAATGACAAAATTGTGGCCCATTTCACCACATTCATCGGGAAGGATGCCTACAGCTTATTAAAAACTTTGGCATTTTCAGATAAGTCCATGTCACTATCCTACAAAACTCTCAAAGAACTACTTTTATATCATGTAAAAGCGTGCTAGTATCAAATGCCGTGAAAAAGCAAAATTTCGTAAAATGAATCGTTAGAATAATTAGGAGGTTGGAGAACTTATCCACGGAACGCAAACACAAGCTACCGAAGGCAATTTCGCTGATCAACTTCATGTACAGCTGCGTGACTGATTGATTGCAGGGATTAACATACTTAATTTGGAAAGAGAGCCCATACGAACGCCGAAGTGTTCTTTTCAAGGTGCTAGAATTTAATGCAATAATTATAAGGCAGTGCATGAAATTGACTTTTACAGCATCAAGAACCTTACTACATTACTTAATTATCCCAATCCAATGAGTACCCGAGGTCAAGCAGATAACATTTCATCGAGGAATCGCAAAGCAGGTCACGGAGGTGAGCACAAATTCAGTAAGCGTTTGTCCTGTGGCAAATTTCACTCACCTAATTCATGTGTATTTTGTAATGCCAAATACTTTAAATGTGGTAAAATTGGATACATCTAGTAAGTTTGTTTACTGTTGAGCGTTTCGCCGTAGGTAATATAAGACTTTTTCACTCAGAATCTTTGCAAATGAACTTTTGCATAATCTATGGAAGATCTGTTAAAACAGGTCAATAAATCTGCGGTTTATAAGCGGGTTAGTTGCAACAACAAAATGCATTCCAAGAAACCGGGTGAGTCTATTCCAATTTCGGCGGGATCATGGATGCGCACTGCTGAGGAGTCCCATACTAGGACGAAACGGCCGTCCAGTGCTTCCAGGTTTTCCATGGTGGTCTAGCTTCAATTGACTCATGATTTCAAATACTGAAACTCTAATATTAATGAGCTTATTATAGACCATATGGAGTCTGTATCCAAAGCACAGTCTGAAAGATATACGACGAACTTAAGAAGAATAGGCACGATCGATTACAGAAATTCGGATTCCAATTTAAGCTGTGGCGGTTGTGGTGTTTGTATGAAGTAACGATTGTTTTGTACTTGATTTCTGGTTGATTTCGAATTCTAAATACAACACGTTTGTTTGTACTCATCTAGTTCTACTCGTCTTAGACTGCACTGTTTCGAGAATTTCTAGCTACCGCAATGATTTGTAGGCTTTCAACTATTATAAAACTCTAACTCTCTATGTCGAACCACCACAAACTGTGCAGAAGTTCATAAATTTAAGCAGATATATAAGTCTCAGTTTACACGAAATTGAAGACTATTATAATGCTCAGAAGTAGGAACTCAGCTAACGGATTACAGAGAATATGACACACAAGCTATTTTTCAAAACATCAAAAGTTAGCTGTGTTGCAATTGTAACGAACTTAAGGTCGTCAAGCTGAAGTTCTGTAAACCCACATAAAGGTAGGCACTTCATTTGAAGCAAAAGTGCACATGCGGTTAAAAAATAACCCTAGTACCCAACAATGTCATGAGATTATATTAACTCACAGTCCACTTACCAGATTTACGCACCTTAAGCTCCGTAATATAAATTAGAACTCAGCGTAGATCGGACTGAATAGATTCTCTTGGAAAGGGTGGAAGACAATAATGAATGTTCAAATTCTTATGATTTATCGATTTGTTTAGAACCATAAGGTGTATTCACTGAACTCATATAAACATCAATAAATAACTGAAGTAACACGAAAATTAGTTACAGAATTTCAAATATTATAGCTTGATATGCATTCAACATTCAGGTGCTTGAACAAATTGTGTCGAATGAATTTCTTACTTAGAGGCAAATATGAATGGTTTCTCCCAAATTTTTTGTTACTTCTGTTTTTTGCCGTGAAAACTTTACGCACCACTTAATCACCTTACGTCAGGCTGGTAGTACTTAATAGCTTAGTCTTTTATTTAAATATATGCTTATTATGTTCACGGAACCAGTAGTTCAATTTTTATCCGGATAAAGTAAACCAGTATGTTCGGTTTTGTTGTTCAGTCAGCAGGTCATCCACAACGTAGGACCTAGAACATGTAAATCGGTCCAAGTTGTCAAACAACATTATCGAGACAAATCCCGGAATAGTAGAGGGATTAAAACTTTCAGTGCTAACAGATAAAGTTTGGTATGAAAAACACGACCAACGGAGAATGTGTTTGAGCAATAAAAAATGTACATCTCAGTTTTGAGACTCAGGATATTATAGAAGACAAATCGAGACCTATCTTAAGCAGTGGAAGCAAACGTCTCCAACCAACCAGTTGCTCGAACGATGACCGGTTGGTCTGTATCTAACGAAGTGACTCGCCCCAAACTAACTGTGACCAACTGATTTGATGAAACGTTTTGGTTTGGCCCCTCCTGTCTTTCTTACAACAAGTATGCCGGTAGACATCGTACTCCGAAGTAGGCAATGGTCACGCATATGTAGGACGTGACCCAGCTACCGCAGTTTACAAAGGTTCAAACCCCATCATCCAATTTTTGTATCCTCCCAGAACCCAGGGTCGCTAATTTGAACAGTGCAAAATATGCGGACTGGGTTTCCGTCGCATTCATGACCGAATAGCCGTAACTTGCGTACATCCTCTACTTTTCGAAGTCACGTTAAACAGGGAGAATTTTCATTTTGTCAACCATTATTTCCTTTATGGAGTATGTGTGATAATGAGAAGTATTTGAATTATAGTATGAACTAAGAATCCCAGAAATAACGTAATCGGATCAAGAAGTACTAGATAACCACAAACGAATGTACTGTATTTAGAATTCGAAATCAAGCATTCAACAAGTACAAAGGTACCATTAGTTCATTCAAACATCACAGTATGTCACTGGCAATGCAAGGTCAGTTGATGAAACCCCACTCTGCTTTCTTGATCCGTCCATATATTACGTCAGACACCACCCCACCAGGGCTTATGAAACTTCTAAGGTAAGTGGACACAGTATGCTCCAGCAATTCACTCCCTATCACTAGTTCAGGCATCGACAAGCGCAAACATCGAAGCAACATATGGCATTGAGAGTGAGATAATCACATCCCAGTCAGTATCGAATTGGTGCTTAGGCCGATCATAAGACTTCATTTTGTCAACGTTTTCACCGCTCAGGACCACGTCATCTGTGTGCTTCAAATCAACTGGTTGATCTCGTGGCCAAAGATCAATTCCTGAAACAAACAATAACCGTGTTATCTTTAAACAACTGCTAATAGCAAGAATAAATAAAATACGCTCACCAGCATTCTCCATCCAGCCCTGTCCTGGGCAATCCTTTCTAGCTCCGTCCAGTTGTAATTCATCGTTTTCATATCTGCTTCTATTATTCGACGTAATGTGTTCTTTGGCCTCCCTCTTTTTCGCTTCCCTTCAGGATTCCAAGTTAGGACTAGCCTCGTGATGCACTTTGACGATTTGCGTAATGTATGTCCTATCCATTTCCATCGTCTTGCTAATTTCTTTTTCAGCTGGAAGTTGGTTTGTTCTCTCCCACAGAAGGCTATTGCTGATGGTATCCGGTCAACGGATGTTGAGTGTCTTGCGTAGACAGCTATTTATAAATACTTGTACTTTCTTGATTGTGGTTGTTGTAGTTCTCCATCTCTGAACGTTTATCAAACCTTAACAAGTTTTTAAATCATGTAAAAGAAGAATATCCATTGTAATTCATTACTTTCTTATAATATATTTTCACTTTATACTAACTGTCTTCTGATTGGCTAATAATTCTCAAGGTCATTTAAGATTCGTTTAAAGGTTGTCCTTAAATTACAGTCTCGCCATCTAATCTCTTGTCAAAACTCTAATTACTCACTATGTAGGACGACTTAAAAGCCGAAAAGTATGTCAGGCTGTGAATTTCGTAGTTTGGTTGCACGTTGACTGATGTATAAGTATTGCAGTCTCACACTCCTCCAGCAGTTGGCCTAGTCCCGCTGAACTATATCTTGTTCAGAAACCCGTACTTTATACGATTGTAATATACGATGCTATATCGTTGCCTTACAAATGACCCATAACAATTAATTTTCCAATACGCTTGTACCACATGATACAGAAATGATGTAGCATGGCATGAAACATATAGCATGAAGTATGACATAACCATAGTACGGTCATCATTTCAAAAGTGCCTAATAGCGAAAAGCGAAAGAGGTTGAAGCTTCTGACTAGCGAACACCGATAGTGAGGGTGAGGATTTTGATGCACCCATGCTTGTAGGACAGAATGTACTATTCGTCTTATGCTCTTCATGATGATGGTGATAAGGGAAGTATTCAGTGATATTGATTTTGATTTCTCGTATCTACCAATCACAGATCCATGCTTTTAATCGCATGTCGGATTTTCTAATCCATTAAGAAGACTTGTTACTAGCGAATTCGGACTCTTGGAACAAGAAAAACGTTAATGATCGGTACCATAGAATAAAGCTAATGGTTGTTGTGACGGAAATACCAATATTCGGTTTGAATGCAGAATTAAAGAACCAAACTTAATGTGTTAGGCCAGACTACGTTCTTCTGTATCGCGTATGGGGAATTTTTGTTCACTCGTACTGTTATATGTCCAATTCAAACTGTTCTAATCTACTAAAGTGAACAAATTATATCAAAAGCGAAAAATGCCTCCGAAAGAAAACTTGTGCTATACAGTCAAAAGTTTTTTAGCATAAACTAGCGTGCCAAACAACAAGGGAAATAGTTAATAAGCAAGAGATTGTACTGGTTTAATAATAGATCAAAAGCAGGTTCGCCGTGCTACGCATATGTCACAACTATTAGTCAGCTTAGATAAAACACTTACCAATATATTCGAACTTTTTAGTTTTCTGACTTCTGATTTGACTGAATTAACAGACTTCGACAATAAAGACGCTAAGTGTAAAGGCGTCGTAAAATTTTGAATACTTGTGGCAATTTTAGGTCTTTGTTACCTCAGAAATGTTACATAAAAATGTGAAGATTCACGTTTATCTTCCAGCCTAATCGCTTTTATTGCAAATGTTTCTTAGTAAAAGCTCCATGGTCTTAGTGAGAGGGTTTGAATCTAATGAGACAGGTTCTGTTGAGGGAACGCCGAAGCTAATCTGATGTTACAAACAAAATTCAAGGAGGTAGCAAGTTTAAGAGACAAATATCAATATCCCTGAGTAGTTATTGTAGTAAATCCTAATTAAGTGATTGAACTAAACAAAATGCCTTTCTAAACTTTTAATCGTCAACCGAATAATTATCATCATTAATACTATTCACAAACAGGCTATTGGAATATATGTGTTATTATTATTTTTATTATTATTCACAAACATCTTATGGGTACATAAGTGTTGTGAAGAAATCATTTCGGGTTTCTTCCAAAAATGCAATAATACACAATTTTCAATAATATCAGCATTATACTTGCCAGTTAAAAAAATTAGAGCAATAATAGTAGAATATTAATAATAATAAATCGGGTCTGTGCAATTGAGAAGAATATTTAATTGAGTTTAAAGAAGGAAATGGAGAAAATAAGGGAATAGAAATAAAGGAGACGTGAAATACGCAAACAGTCTACAAGGCGTGTTTATGAACACAGAACAAGAATAAACAACTATGTGTGTATCGTTAAATTAGTAACAAAAATAATTAAGAAAAAATAACTTATAATTGCAGTAAGATATGACGCTAGAATAAATGTTTGTGCAGTTATAGTTTGGAGTGATGCTATGAAAGTTACAATTAAATGAAAAGGGTAATAAAATATCAATATGTATGAGTAGAGGGAGTATCCTCATAAATGTAATCACTCACAAGTCTTATTGATGTTAACATATCTAAACAGGTTCCGTAGTATTTAGAAGAATGCTGAGTTGACTTTGATGAACAAAGGAAGGAAGAATCGGGAAAGGTGTGAGCGATTTATTTAGTCGGTCTATGAGATAAAATAAGAATAAAAAGTGATATATGTATCTCGGAAAAACCGAAAGCCGATCCAATAATGTGGCAAAATTTGATGATAGGAGAGTTTTTGCAGTAATAGTGTGGGATTTGGCGACGAAAGTCCCACTTATTTGCAGCTAGTAAACATCAAATATCCATTTTTAGGGGTCCTACATATATAATGAAGATACGGCGAATCTGAAAAGATAATTTATATAAATGTGATACAAATTATTTATTTATAAACCCTGTGTGGTTATGAGCGAAAGGTATGTAAAGGGTATAGCGAGAGAGAAAGCGAAACCGTCATCCTAATGAAGTTTCTCTTTACTCGAAAATATTCAAATATCTTTCTACACCAGAGCTTAATTTGAGTCTAAGCACGTCTCCACAGTGAGCGAAAGACATCTGTCAAGCCTGTTCAGCGGTGGATGGTCAAAAGTAGGCCTTTCTTGTGTAATGATGAGGCAATTTCGGACGTCGACACGTTACATGACGTATTTCCTTGATAATGAAATAGGTGTGTCCTAGGAATAAACAACTGCCACGGTAAAGTTTCACCAGGCGGTTACTGTTATCCGTCTCGAGACATGAGGCTTTGGATAATAACATCTCAAAGTACCATTAGGAAGTCTTAGCATTTAGTTATCATACGGAGAAAAGGATTATCCCTGTGAGACATATTTACTTCACAAAACTACAGTTGTTAGTGGAGTAGGTAGAGGCAATGACGCACATTTCTGCTTGCGATCCGGGTTTCCTCTGTCCCACTTAGTATTACAGCACGAAAGCGATCGTCTATTGGAAACGGGCTTGTGAGAGTCTGTTTTGCTTTTATACCTATGGATAAGCCGAGTCCCCTGAGGTTGCAGAAAAGGAAGAGACAAGTATTTGAAGCGCAGGTTTTATAGATTGCCTCCTCTCTA